CTTTAGAATTCCTACGCAATTAGGAATCTTAACTCCCACAAGAGTCCTATCTCACGCATAATTCTGGAATTCGACCAACTCCTTAACCATTCAGGACTCCAACAGATGAGGACATCCAGCTAGTTGAGTCCAATTAGGAGAATGTCACTTACTACTATAAATACAGAACCTTGAACCATTATTCAGGTACGTTTTACATTGTTCTTCAGCACATAGCCTCACGCATATATTTCCCTTTCTGACTTAAGCATCGGAGGGGCGACGAGAACACACCTCGTTGCCTTTGTTTCAGGTATCGGAAGATCACGTTCGTGCTCATCATCAGTCATCAAGCTCGGAAAATCTACAGGTACGATTTTTGGTAGCATCAGTTATCATATAGGGTTTTATAGCTATACATCTCTTCAACTATTAGACTAAGTGCTCGTTTGATAAATTTTGTTAAAATATTATCAATTTTTTAATTGATTAAACTTCCATTTGAAGTACATATATTAAGGGACTTACAAAATTTTATCAACTTTTTAATTGTACATGTCATAATTTTTTTATCAAAATTTATTAAAACTTTTGTCAAATGCCCTAAGCTTTTGTTTGTTGTAACTTAAATCGAAGATTATTAACTATTTTGCAAGGTTAACAATTCAAACTCTCAATACATTCAACATTGGGCTGCCCCCCAGGGCACATCCGAGTTGGTGGAACAATCACTTCGCTGGGACGCTGGAAGCAAGGGTGGAGAGTTCGATTCCTGGAATTAACACTGGGAGCCATATGGAGAGGAAGCCATTGGTGTGAACAAACGCCCAGTGAAGAGAGCTCTCTTTGCGGAAAGAGTCCAAATGAGTTGTGGGAACCTGGGAGCCAACAAGGGCACATCCTGCGATTTACCTCCCTGAGCTGCTGAGGGGCCGGAGGTTCAGGGACAAGGATCTAGTCGGACGCAAGCCCACAAGGTAAAAATTACTTTTTTATTAAATTTGAATTTTCATTAGATTTTTACACAGAATTTGTCCGAATACACAAGTGTCAAAACATCATTCAAGAATTATAAAAAAAAAAAATGACGAATGAACAAAATGCTAGAAATCTATGAGTTATTCGGTGTACGTGGGGAATAGCTCTTTTCATTAATAGAGATAACGAGAATAAAAAATATAGGACATGGGACGGAATGACCTACTTGCCTCATATTCATCTTGTTGTCATCCCTAATTTCCGTATGTCTAACAAAAATAGGCCCAAAGAGAGCAGAAAAAAGCAACTCCAGTGGATATATACACTATATCCAAATTCCTCTCTCTCCTCTGTTTTCTCACTCTACATTCTATTCTTTTTTTCTGTAGTAAATGGAACCTTTCTTTTTCTACCCTGATGTCGCTTTTACTCCTTTTCCCCTCCATGGCCTCGAGTAAAATTACCAAACTATCCATTCCAGTTTGAATCTTACCCTCCATGTCCTCCACTTGCATGCTTACTTCCTTTAAGTCTAACTCCGCCCCTTCCTTACCCCCGCAGGTGACCACAACACCGCACTGAACCAACTCGCCCTCCTCCGCCCCCGCAATCACCGTGTAATACCGGAGCTGGATCTCATCCGTCAACCAGTTCCGTCGAGTCTCCACCGCCTTCGAACTCGCCACGTTGACCGCCCTTTTGGAGACAGGGTCTATTACAATCCAGCTTACTGTGAGGTGCTCTTCTAGATTCTCCATACATGTGTCCTCCTCACCTTCGAGAGTTACCGGCACCGGCACCGTTTCTTTTAAGTCGAGAAGGTCGATTCTCAAGGGTGAACTCAAGAACCATAATGAACCGGTTTCGGTTTTTAATACTTTGGAGTAAACTAACTTTCCGGCGTAGTAAATATCCACTGCTGATATTAATTCTGGTGTTTGAAGCAAACGTTGTTCCTGGGATTCCTTGGAACTGTGGCGGTGGAGAAGGCCGTGGTGGTGGAGAGTCGGGAAAGAATCGGAGTAGAAGGATCGGTGGCCGGAAGGGAAGGAGGTGATGGCGTCCATAACGCTGGGGTGGGCGGTGGAGGGCCAGGTGGAGTTACAAATATCCCTCCATAGATTATCTTCTGTGCATAAATATTTGAATTGGGTTGAAGCACAGGTTGTGGAGGCAAGAGTTGGACCATCAAGTCTATTCAAGATGTGGGTTCGGATTACATCTGGATGTATGGCGGTGATGGAAGTTCCTCCGCCTTGATAAGTGGTTGTCACCTCGGCGGCGGCCGCAGTGGCCGAACAGGAAGACATGATTGTTTTATTGAAGGTTAGGTTGTGAAATTGTTTGCTTTAAGTAAAAAAAATGAAATATGGAATGGATTTTTATAGGACGTAAAGTCAATATCGGCATACTGTAGGGCCATGCAAATTAAAATTAGATTTTTAATAAATTTTAATAAAAATTGATAAAGTATATATTTAAAAAGTCCGGGAATCTTATAAAATCTATAATTGAAATTAATTATTAATCTTGATTTAAATTAAAATTTTAATTTTAATCCCTACCAAACAAAGTCAACTGTATATTTGAAAAGGTACCGTGGGGGTCCCTAATCTCTGGACGTTCTAGCATTATGGTCCTAAAACTTCTAAATGTTAGTGTTGTGTGTCCTTTTGGACATAACTGTTATTTTGACCGTTTAATAATCATTTTGTGAGTTCGATGACTATTTTACCTTTAACTTTATAGTGTAAATATAGTTCATGTTTGATTCTTATTCTTATAAGAATGAAAATGAAAAATATAGTTATTATAGGATCTACACAAGAGAGAAGAAATCAAATATGATAACTTGACATAATGGATAATAATTATATTTTTCATTTTTTTGACCAAAGAATATGAAACAAACGGGGCTAACACTATACCACCATTAGCCCATCACACTCCACAGTTTCACCCCATCAGTTCCACGTTGCCACCACATTTAATACTTGTGTATTATTTGTTGAGAATTTCGCTACTTTGTGACCCTTTAAAGTGCTTTAGCTATGAATAGTTGTTGTGAAGTGGAGGAACTGATGATTTAAGAAGAAATTAGTTTTAGTGGAAAAATATCGCTCAACAACAATTGAAATCAAGGAGAGTGGTCAGTGATGACATGTTTGGAGAAGATGAAGTGATGGCATGATGGGTGCATATTGGGTTTTGGGGTGGGTGGAGTCGGGGTTTTTGTTTTTTGTTTTTTTTAATTTGTTGGTTTAATTTTTTTTTTATGTTTTTGTTTATCTGTCATATTTGCCCGTCGAAGTAATGGCACTATATTCATTTTATATATATATATAAGAAGAAGAAGAAGACTATTTAGCAGGCAAAGTATCACTTTCTATCCAAGAAGAACCTGCAGTGCAAACATTTTCAGTGGTTTGGGACCTTTAGGGGATGTTTTAAAGTTTTGAGGCCGCAATTTAGAACATTCGAAGGCTATGGACTTCGAATGCAATTTACCTTATTTAAAACCAGTGGACTGTCGGAAAATTCTGACGTTGGCATTAATTTCATATCTCAATTGTTAATTTTCATAAATGGTCACTGAAGTTTGTGCAAGTTGATCTTTAAAGTATTTTTCTACTCATCATTGGTCCTTAAATTATTTTTAACTCATATAATCACTCAAGTTAATTAGTGTTGCCTTTGTGACTTTTTTCGCTACAATAATGTCGCATTCGATGTGACTTCCATAATTGTTGACATGTTCACCGCTAAGACATGCATAACTGCATGAAGCACGTACTATGTATGAATTGAAAAATATTCATAAAAGAAAATTTAAGAAATTCTAGGGAATTATGATAAACATTATTCAATTTGATCGTTAGTTGAGAAAAATCTACAAATTAATTTAAAAATAAAACATAACATGCATTTTAACAATATCGAGTTCACCAACCACTATATGAACTCTTAATTTTAGAGTAACTTTTACTCATATTTGAGTTGAATTTTTATTGCAATTTGATTTGAATATATGTTTTTTGCAAGAAAAAAAATATATATGGCACGTCACGAGTTAACTAAAAGGCTTACAAATAATCAACGTTAATAAACTTTAGTAATTAAATAGATCAAAAATATACTTCAAGAGCCAATTAAAATTTTGCCCAAATTCCAGGGACCATTTTTGAAAATACCTTATTTTAATATCTATTGGCAGTAACCCTACGCGAAGATTCCTCCTCAATTCAACTTGCTTTTAAACCATTCCTTAACCCATAATTATACATTAAAAAGGTAATTAGTTGGTCAATAACGAAACGGCAGAGTTTTGATTGGGCCATCCGCACTCACATTCAAAACAAAGTGCCGTCGTTCTCTTGTCGTTTACTAAACATTTTGCTGGAGAAGCGTTGTAAATTGATTAACAAGTCGGCCAATTTGACATCGATTCGACATATAGTACCGCCTCGTGAAGGAAAAAAAAAATTAAAAATAATTTTATTTCTAGACAATTCATCTGTTAAAAATTCATTTTGAATTTGTATTTTATTCTCCAATAATAATATAATTCGAAACTTTGAAAATGTGGAAAAAAATTAAAAAATAAATAAATGAGGTAAAAAGTTGCCCGGTCCCCGTCTGACGCTCGCCTCGCCTCGAATCAACCCCATTGCCATCTCTATCAATGGTCAACAAATATTTGATTTTTTAAATTTATGAGTACTCTTAAAATTAAAGTGTTTTCAAATGTGATTACTGATCTCACGTTATTGAAAATAGATCACTATGTTGGAGGGGAAAGAAGAAGCGTTTTTCTTGTAACTTGCAAAAATAAGAAATTAAAATGACAAAAACATGAAATTTATAAATATATCTTATACTTACTATTGGATGACAATGAAATGGTATGTAGCTCTACTGAATTTGCAACTCCAGTTTAGGTAGCGCTAAATAATTTGTCAAGTGAAAGGTGAAATTAAGTGAGTTATTTAATTCTACTTATTAATTAATGTCACATTAGCGTCACCTAAATTAGGATTGTAATCTCAATGGAATTGAATAACATTATTCATAGAAATAGAATGTAGTTTAAGAAGATTTCATAAAAGTCTACAATGTATGAATCATAGTCTAATTAATATATGTCATTTCTTTGTCATTTTATGTCTAGTTTGTTTTCGTCATAAGCGTGTATGTTGAACTTTCAACGAAAACGAATTTCAAATAGTACCTCTCTTTAACATTAGAGATGGCTAAGGTCAATCATATCATTTGACATGTCGCGCTATCACTTGAATTAAACTAAAGTGACAAAAGATGGATGACAAAAGGCATAACAACCTCTCACATGTTGGGATCGAATTGTGAGTGTTGATCGGGGAGGTTGTCAAAGCCTCCATGTCAGTGTAGCATCTTTCTATCCACTTATCCTTAACTCTACTATTGAAAGGTTAACCCTAAATATTAGAAATAGAATGAAGATTCATCAATTAATCAAGGAGCAGGACGAAACGAGACTAAAGTTTCTCTCCCGATTAATAAATTTATTTTTTATATGTAAAAATAATATAATATAGAAAACATATATTAATGAAATAAACAGTTACATATTGACCTTTAAAAATGTAAAGTGCATTATAATTTATATATTTACATTTAATAATATTTGATTTTATTTAAAAAAAATAAAAATACTATTAAAAAAAACCTCAAAAGGGACCAAAATGAGATTGCGAGTTTTTCCCCGTCCCAAGTTGACTCCAACCCTATCCTACAATAATTATACTACATGTACACTTTCGATGTACATAATTCTTTAAATCCCTTCACATGGAAAGAGGCCACACATAATAAATTATTCGTAGCCCCCCAATGTGTGAGGGGTGCCATGCTGTGTGTACACACCCACATAAGCAAGGAAGAAGGTTGGGATAAGAGGCGAGGAAATTTTCAACGAAACGAGGGAGAGAGATGGAATTCTTGTCCCGAACCATCTCGCTGCCATTCATACGTCATATACACAGATTGTCATATTAGACTATTTTGGTTGTCAAGTCTATACTTACTCGTACTAAAATAGTAATAAAGCGGGTAGTCGAATGTGGCGGCTAAGTGAGGCCACGTAAGCAATATTAATCCGGTGATTATTTTCTTTAAATGTCGAACAGATGCAATGAACCTTTTTTTTTTTTTTTTTTTTTTGGAAATTAAAGCATCATAGAAGAATACGAAAATATTTAATTGGTATCTTTATTTATGTATCAATGACACTAGATGCATTCGCCATAGTTTCAGCATTACGGCAAACCCGTGTCAAATATATAGCTGATTTGGGCGCTCTAGCCAAAACGAAGTCAAATTGGTGACAACTCATATTTGAACTTTTTTATTTGAGTTTCAATCGTCAAGGAAGAAAAAATAGAAAGAAATTCTGTACCCATCAGTATCCCCCCCCCCTGGCCCCGGCAAAAACTCAAATATTGATTTTTATCACTTATTTTATCAATTCTATGAGTATTACCCATTTATTTATCACTAATTTCTTGAAAAGTAATTTTTTAATAAAAAATGAAACCCAAGCAATTGCGAGCTCTTATAATTATGCATTCACTAGGTGGAAGAAAATCACACGAGTTTTTAAAGCATGACTAAGAGCTCCTTTGCAAGATTTTGCTTCTGTTTTTATTTTTTGTAGAATTATTTTTCGAGGAAGTCAAATTTAATCAACTTTTTTCTAAAAGCTCCTTTTATTCAAACCAAAAATTTCTCTAAAAAAATTCAGAAACAATGAATTTTAAAGGAGGTCATTATTTGATTTTTAATCATTTTCATTTGTGAAGTCATACGTTTTGGGACCTTATCGTTATGGGCTGTTTTATTTTTTCTAAATTTAAGGAGAACCACACGTATATGTCGTGTGCGCTATTCCCACCCTAGCAGTTATGCTTAATTCAAGTTCCAAACAATAATAGTATTTTTGGCATAGTGACCTAAAGTTATTCGGCCCATGTTCGGTTTTGATTAAAATCTTATTTTAATTAAAGTCAAAGTCAAACAATTAATATTAACCACATCTTTCATGGATCCTATAACTTTTCAACCACACGTTTCAAAAATTTCTATCACAATCTACTAAAAAATTTAATTTTAATCCCCACCAAATATCATCTAAATTTCAAAGGTGATAACTAATAACATGTGACATTACAACACTGTCCTTATAAATGTTTTAGCAAGAGGGCCCACTATCATCAATCTAGGTATCATTCAATGTAAATGTATCATGAATAATGCTTACAGCTCGGTGTACAGCCCTCTCACATGAAGTGGGCCCCACGTCCCCTATGTGAGGGGACGGTAACAAAGACAAGCAAAAATGAACATA